CAATAGAAAAGGAGTCTGAATGTACCTTGAGCTTGGAAAGACTATAATTAACTAATCATTTGCAATGGTTTCACATCATTCATGCATCTTAAAGGATTGGCTTTCTGCACACAGACTCAGACACTGGGAACACCCTGGCCACATATAAAAGGCTCACATCATCTATTTAAGTATGACTTCAGGCCTCTCATTAAGAGGCCATCTCATTTAAGATGTCTTCAGACATCTCATAGTAAGGATGAGAGCTAGAGCACTCAGCTGGGAAAAAAGAAATGAAATTATCCAGAAGCATCAGCTGATCAAGTGCCTCACTTCTCACCACACTCTGGATTTAGAGTAACCACACTCTTACTCTCTAGTTCTCACATACCCTGCAAGCTCAAAGCAGTGAGGAAGGAACCAGGAGGACACTGCCACTTGGTGGAAAAGGGAATAAACATTTCCTACAGCTACAAGTAAAAATGACTTTTACATGAATGTTCTATTCCTTCCCACCAGACCAAATGAATTTCTTTGTAGTACGGCTAGAGCAACTCCATTCAGCATCCCACACTATGCTTTACAACATGAACACACCTTGTCTGGGCTGTTTGCTATGCTCATAGCAAAGGAGGCTGTGGCTTTTTTCCACTCACATTTAAGGACCGCTATTAAAGATGACAGAAGTCTAGAACTCCTGAAGTTCAGATCTGCCTCCCTGATAACCTTCTCAAATCCTCACTTTTCACGCCATGCAAGGATTGTATTTTACTTTCTAACTGTGAAAGCCAAAAGCAACAATCAATTTAGCAAGCTTTGTAAGGAAGTAATACCAGCTTTACAGCTGGTAACTTTATTTTAAAGCACAAAAATTAGTCTACTCAAGCTGAAGTATATAGTCTGAATATCCGTTTTTCTCTAACACTTCAGCTCAACCTACCTGTTTTGCTCTTAACTACTCAGAATGTTCTTACCTGAACAGCCTGTTTCTACTTGGGTGTGCCTGTGCTGAATAAGAACATTCCAAATTCAAGAAGCAGAGGAAAGATGCCCATTCTACTTATTGTCATTTTTACAATCCACTAAGCTGCTTCTTCTGGTGTCTTTTCTACTAACAAATTTACATAGAGATTTCACTGTATCTTGCTTTGAGGCATCTTCTTTAATCTGCAGAGGATGTATATTTCTTGTAAAGAAGAGATCACAGAGGAATAGGTGTTAAAACTTCAACAGCATTCACACACTATTTCTATGCTCACTGTTTCTACTTAATTTTCCTAATGCAGAGAAAATGACAGCATGGCAGGTTCCTTTATCTTAAAAAGTTTGCTCATTATGTAAAAGGGTTTTAATGTAATTTAACTTAGGAAACCAACTTATATAGCAACATAAGTAGAAACTGAACAAGCAGTTTATGTATTACCATAATCTACAGTGACTCTCTGTTGCAGACAGGGGGTCAAGCTTAGACTCTTTTTCTGCCTGAATCCAGGTCTCACTGCTTTGTATTTCAGTCGAACTTCCTTTTGCCATACATTTTTCTAACAGATGTAAGTGTTAACTGTAAGACCTGGGATGTTTCTCTGGGCACAACTGAATTGATAATGTTGATAATTGACATGTTTTATGACCTCTGGGAACATACAATCATTTACTCATTATGTGGTTCTAACTACAGCTTTTCAAATAATGCTGGTCAGAAATAAGAGAATTCTGCACTTAACACCACATCTCCCTGATCACTGAAAAACAGGAAAGATGCTGTCACAAAATACACCTCTGATCTAATTCAGAATACTGCAGTTCTTCAATACAGATCTTGACCATCACTCAGTCCATAGCTTAACTACTTAACTAATTTTGGCAGAAGCCAGAAGTCACATTACATCTTCAAAAAGAAAGTACAAAACTAGCTACAGAAGATCAAACATGAACACCAAAGCCATGCTTTTAAGACTTATTCCTCTTATACTGAGCTTTCCCCCCACCACCGTGCCACACTTCCAAATACCTTCAGGTCACCAGCCTCAGGTTTTTCAGTCTCTGAATCGTCATCTTCCTACAAGACAAGAATTTACAGGATTAAGCTTAAAGAGAAGGCTTGGAAAGTAACTGCACTTATAGCAAAGGGCTTGTGCTCAGCAGCCCAGCAGTTCTCCAAGACCCTTCTAATGGAAGTTACTTTTGCCCAACCCACTCATGACCAGCAAACAAGCCCTACAGTTATAAGGAAAAAAAAAAGTGTTGTTTTGTTAGGAGTTTGTTTCCTTTTTAAGGTAAGAGCATAATTCAGCAGCAAATGCCTTCCACAAAAGTTGCGTGGCTCCTCAATGTTCAGAGCTAGACAATGAAAATCAACAGAGCTAGGAAGAAAGATATTTGTCATTGGATAATTCTGTCTTTTCTGGTTGGCAGGTGGGGGCTTCTCTTGCACTCGCCCCTGTTGAGCAGGGCTCACAGCAAAAGCAGCACTTGCAAGGCCTATTATATTCCCAAGCATACACCAGCAACACACAGAAGACACACAACTTGCCTGACATCCAAGCAATCATGCAGGCTTGGTAAGGATCTGCCCTAGTGCCAAGTTTGAAAGATCCAGTGATGCTTGCTGACACATCTTTTCTTACTTGCACAGTGCTTTCGTGGCCTCATTTACTGATTATGTGAACTTCCATGGAAGGGAACAACCCACTAGTTTCAGTTTCAGATAACAGACACCAGCTAATTTTCATCTCCACCCAGATATCAGAAAAAAACTGGCAAGATTTTGCCTTGAGTGCTTAAAATACCAGAATCAGCCTTGTATAAAATTCCCATGAGAAGTAGTAAGCAATAGCTTTGATCTGAAACCGGTAGGTAAGCCTACTGTCCCATTGCCCAATGGGTTACTGTTTCACTGGGGATCCTAGAGCTATGTGTGCAAATAGATGCTCTGGGTTCAAAGCAAGTAGAGGAGCAGAAAAAAAAAATAAAATAGTTTTCATGCTCACACAATTCAAAACAGTTTTTCCTTTGAACTTCAAGTTTGAGCTTTGGCCCCAAAATATTTATTTGGTATTTCAAAAACAAACAAACAAAGATTACGTGCAACTGAAAGGAAGGGTTAACATGAAGTGCACACTTCAGGGTGTTAGCACACACTCAAGTTCTGGCAAGGCAAGCTACAGAGTGATTACCCAGTAACACCAAAGTTTTAATTGCAGGAATTAACATGTGTATACCACAGAAGTGAGACACCAAACCCTTTCTTCACTTCAGATCCTCTCCAGCTTACCTTCCTAAAATATACGTGTGCCAATAACTCAGCTTTAGCAATCAAGTTCAGTAACAGTAACTGCATAACTAAGAAGAACCACAGCACCAAGTTAGTTGGTACTTGATCACAAATTCCCCTCTAAGCTCCCACACACATTCAAAAAGAAGTAATTTTCAAATAATCAACGATAGGTTCAATCATTCATTAGATGAACACTTAAGTGAAACAGCTTCAAAAACCTTCTACCCTAGCAGGGGACATCTCTGAAACAGCAAGAGAATATTACTGAAACTTCCTTTGAAGATAAAATAACAAACAGCAGATAAGGTAGATAATATAAGCACAGGGTTATTTTGTTAAAGCCCCAAAACAACTGAATCCAATTTTCACTGCTTTCCAAAAACAGCTCGTAACCAGTGAGTACCCATGCTACACTCTATCAAGGAATCCCTCGATTCTAGTTAAAGAAAATATGTTGCTGCCTTGCAACAAGACTACAGATAAGGCACCCTAATTAATCTCCACAGATCAGTACAGTAACTGGAAACATATGCAAGATCTGCTAGCTAAACACTGAAGTGATTTCACCAATTGCCATTTCTTGCATAGTGCCTTGAATTTCCCAGGTGATGGATGGTTAAAATCTACACTGACAATGCATGTGCAATACAGGCTACCCATTTTACATACTTAGTTGTTGAGGAACATCTGCATCACATCTACCACCTTTAAAATAAAGAGATCTCACTGAAAGAGTCTATAAGCTTTGGATATGAAGAGGAGAATGACTAATGCAGTAAAGAAGTGTCATTACTTCACTTAGCCAGACAATCACTGTGAATGCTATTGCACACACTCATTCCAGTCAGAAACAGAACAAATAGGAAAAGAGGCCAATTTCTTCTCTGCTAACTGGGGAAGCAGATGGCCAGAACAGTGAGGATCACATAAGAGAATGATCTAATGCACACAGAGTAGATTTCAGTAAGGGGAAGCTGTAGCAACACAGCCCTATTTCCTCCATGTACTAAGTAAGTTGCCAAAAAAAATAGAGTAGTCAAGACAATAACAGAGTTCTGCAAAAGGATGATAGAAGAAAAAGGAGACAAGAACCTCCCCGTACCTCCTCAAGACTTATTGCTTCACTCCTACAGACACATCAGAAGTATTTGTCCTTTTTTGTGTAATAGGTGCACTCATGTGCAGTAAACTACGTGCCCTATCTTAAAGTGCATCAATTGTTTTGGTATTTATGTGGTATTATACACATGCCATGCACCTATGACAAACAAAAGCCACTCAAGTCTAGACAAGACACTGCTACATCAAGTTAACTTGATGCAGTAAGTTGAGTTACACACAGAAGAATAATTGAAGACATGACAGAACTTCATTCTTTTCAATTTTCCAGCTGACAACGCAACAGCATTTTTCTCCCTTAGCATTCTCATACATGCTAACAATGCTTAAGGAATAGTGTACATTCACAGTGACAGTTTCTTCCCCATAGAAGAGTCAAACAGCATCAACAGAGTTAGTAACAAGCAGCAAGATCTGCGCCAAACTGCCATTGGGCTCCAAGGCAAGTGCCTTCTATTTGAAAATGAAGTGAATTACAATACTTGGGAAGTGCTGAAACCTGCATCAGGAGGCAGTGCCATCAGGTTCCAGCTCAGGGTGCCATTCAGGGGCTCTCCCAGGAGCAAAAGGCATTGCAACGCATGGCTGCGAGCAAGACAAGCCCCAGGAACCGTGAGATACTTACTGACTGCCTGCTGTTCTCGTCGTCCTCCTCTTCATAGCCCTCCTCATCCCCATCCAGGCGGCTGAAATCATCTTCTCCATACCCAACCGAGACGAGCCCTCCTTTCTCTCCTAAAGCAAAAGAGGAGAAAAACAGAAGGCAAACAGTGAGAAAGGAGAGACGAGAACGAGAGGGGCCTTCCCTTCTCTGATAGGAAGGCGGCGGGATGGCTCCAGGTCAGCCCGCTGCTTTCCCCAGGCCCCTCCCCGCCCTCACCCGTAGCCGTTCCCCCATCGCTTCCCGCCGTCCCGGTCTCGCTATCCGATTCCGGGTCTGAATCCTCGGCATAAACCGCCAAAGAGGACAGGACGCTGCGCTTCGCCGCCGCCATCTTCTGCCTCGGGCGGGCGTGCTTCCGTCGCGCAGAAATGACGTCAGAGCGGTCGCCATAGCAACGTCGCCCTCCTCCTTCCGTTTTAAACGCGCGCTGATCGACAGGGGAAATGTCGATGCTAGCACGCTGCGAGGGGGGCAAAACTCTCGGTGAAGACGTTATGTAGGATGAAAAGAAACGTCAAAGGTGAGACGGGTAATTTTTTTGGGGGGGTTGCTTTGCTTTTTAAATTTTAAGATGGGGGTTGGCCCTTTAAGAGCGGCTTCCAACGTCATCACCCGGCGCCTCAACGGCGCACGACTGGACCCCGAGGAAGCGCAGAGAGCGGGGGTCGGGGTACGGAGGGGTTCGGTTGGGGAAGAGGCGGAAGGATACGGCCCGTGGGTGCGTTGAGGGGGAGCTGTGAGGGGCTGGCGACGGGAAGGTGCTCCGAGACCCCTATCTGACCCGGCCTCATGGAGATCCCACAAGGAATGAGGCTGAGGGGCAGTGAGGGGGCAGCTCCCACCAATGGCGGATCTGTCAGGGGAGCAGGGCGGGGGGCTCGCCTCAGAAGGGGAGACTCAGTATCAGTTCCTCCATCCACAGCTTCTCCGAGATGAGCAGCACGGCAGCTCCAGGCCTGCAGGGCAGGGTCCGGAAAACGCTGGGAAAGGTCTTCGGGTTTGAATCGTTCAAGACTTCCCTGCAGGAAAGTGCAACCATGGCTGTGGTGAGAGGTGAGGCTCAGCGTCTGAAAGCTCTGCAGCAGTTGGCTCTGAGGAGACACTGCCTGCTCCACGAAGGACCTCCAGCCCTCTGAGCTCTCCTCAGCCTCCTCTGCTCAGAGGTCACATCAGTGGCATAGGAGTGCAAGCATGTGTTGCAAACAAAGTTTTCTGAGCATGGCTTCTGAGTGTGGCTCTACCTGTTCTCCCATATTTTTATTTTGTAAGAACCCTGTTGCATTGACCAGGAATAGCATTCAATTGTAGTGTTTCCAGTATCTCCATTAGAGGTATCTGGTAGCATGCTTGTGGTCAGATGAGGTTGAAACTATCCACATTTGCAGTTAACCTCTATTCTCTGAATGATGTAGATGCTATTGGAAACACACAGCTGTGCTGAAGTTAGCTTGTCCACCACTGTTGGTTGGACGGGCAGCTCACACACTCACAGACACACATGCACACACTGTTGACCATCTGCTCTCCTTGCAGGTCTCATAATGCAAATCAGAACAGTGTAAAATTCAATAAACATCAGCATGCAGGATGTGGTTACAGTTTTCATCTGTCACCTGCAGATGTGCTACTGATAATAGATTGGCTGAAAGTAGTGTTCTGTCAGCCGGCTGTTCTTCCGTGTTAAAACTGTATGTGTTGGCATCTTCCTGACTTGAAGTGGTTACTCCTTAGCATGGGGACAGTTACTAACTGAATGTTATCTGCGTGGTTGAGATTTACTTTTTGGGATAAGCATTGGGAGGGTTTGATAAAGATCTATCCTGGGACTGGTTGTTTGGTAACTGGAGGTTTGTAAGATGAGTGAAAGCAGCTAATCTGTAAGAGAATCAGCATTAATCTGGATTAGCTGTTCAACTTCTTGTGCACCTTCCAGTATTTGTGAAAGACTGTTCCTTAATGTTCACAAAGTAATCAGAGATTCTTTGAAGGAAAGCAATGCAGGTATGCAACTAATTATGCTTTTAGAACCTGAAATGAAGTGTCTTTTGTTGGTATGCTACGTGGTACATGCACAGATTTGCTGTTTCTCACAGATTACGTGCCTTCGTGCCCATCTTTCCAGACAGAGCCCTGGGAACTCGCCATCACTCAATAGCCTTGAGCTTTGTTCTGTTGTCTTTGCAGGCGAGAAGGATGTCTTTGTATGTATGCCCACAGGGGCAGGGAAATCCTTGTGCTACCAGCTTCCTGCAGTTCTGGCAGTGGGCATCACCATTGTCATTTCACCTCTGATTGCACTGATTCAGGTAACTGTCTCCTGTTAGATGTGGAAAAGCAGTCAGTGAAGGGGGTCGGGAGACTCTTGAGGCACAGCTGTCTCTCTCTTTCTGTCCACAAGGCTTTGCTGTTACCCTGCTTCTGCATTCTTGTCTTGATGTCTTGGCATGCTTTCTTTAGCCTGGTGACAGGTGAAGAGGCTGCAGATTAACTGCCTAACAGGATGGCTCTGGGTTAATATATGTAGCTCTGTAAAAGAGGGCATTTCTTCCTTGATCATAGCCTGCTGAATTTTATAACTGATTCTTTTTCCATTTTCAGCAGCTGTCTTTTATCTCCATTGTGCTGTACAGAAGCAGCAAAGTAGAGTACCCCAAAAGTACCAACTCTTCCATTTTACCTATAGGGTTACAACTCTAGGAATGATGAAATTGCTTTTGAAGGCATACATTTTTTTGCATCTTTTGTTGTGCTCTGTCTTTGTGTCATGGAGAGAAGCTGGTTTAGCAGAGCTCCTCCTTGAACACTGTCACTGATACGACCTTTTGTTTGTGTATTTTGTCTTTTCTACTGTTTTCATCACCTAATGCTTCCCTATAAGAGCAGCTGTAGCACTAACAATGCGCAATAGCTGGTGTTGTAGCCTGTAGTGAACATCAAGAATTAAGAACTGGCTTGAAACTGAAACCAGAATGATATGATGAGGCCTTAATCTTTCAGGATTACTCATATCTTTTGAAATGTTCTGTGCTGGTCAAGCACAAGTGAATGGAATCAGTGTCAAGATAGGCTGAATTGTACATCACATGTTCATCTAGATGTACCTGAATGGGATGCTGTTTTCCTCCTGATTTTCAAGACATGATTCTTGTTCACACTCCCTTCTGTTACAGTGGTGATTCACACTGGCCTTTGTGTTTCATCATATCTCAGCCAGCTTTACAAAGTCCTTTGGTTATTTTGGAATGAAATGTGCTCTGTTTTTGTATAGCAGTTTTATTCATTTTCCATCCATGACAACTCGGTAGGGTAAATTTTGAGGCATTGGTGCTCATTTCATCTCGCTGTGGCTATGACTAAGTATTCTGCATAGCTCTGTGCTGATACTCCTTAGTAGCAAAGTGACCATTTAGAGTGAATGGAAGCTGAAAAAAGGAGTTGGTTGTTAAGAGCCAAACAGATATATTGACTGCTGAAGATAAAGGCATCTGGAGTGAAGTGGTAAACAGCTGCACTATAACTGGGTGTTATCCTGAGGCTTGGTCCTGGAGGTAAAAGTTGGGGCCTCACAAATCTTGCCTGTAGACTTCCATAGAGATGGAGGCTTTCTTTAATGCTATGTCCTTCTCATTTTATTTTCATTATATATTCACTCCAGGACCAAGTGGACCATTTGCTGGCTCTGAAGATCAAAGCCTGCTCTCTGAACTCCAAGCTTTCCGCCCAGGAAAAGAAGACCATCCTGGCTGACTTAGCAAGCGAGAAGCCTCAGATAAAGCTTCTGTACATCACCCCAGAGATGGCAGCTGCCTCATCCTTCCAGCCTACACTCAACTCCCTAGTGTCTCGAAATCTCCTGTCCTACCTGGTAATTGATGAAGCTCATTGTGTCTCCCAGTGGGGACACGATTTCCGACCGGATTACCTGCGGCTGGGCACCTTGCGATCTCGCATCCCCAATACACCATGTGTTGCTTTGACTGCCACTGCTACCAAGCAAGTCCAGGAGGATATTGTGACAGCACTCAAGCTAAAGCAGCCACTTGCCACCTTTAAGACTCCTTGCTTCAGATCTAACTTGTTCTACGATGTGCAATTCAAAGAGCTCTTGACTGATCCTTATGCCAACTTGAAGGATTTCTGTCTGAAGGCACTGGAAGTGAAGAACACCACTGGGGTAGGTTTTTCATTTCAGGACGATGGTTAAGCTGAACAAAATCTTCCTTAGTGGTCAATGATTGGTCATTGAAATGGCCCTGACAAGTCTGTGGTAGGAAAGGAGGAAGGAACACCTGGAAGGAAGGTGCTCATTTGTTTTTTAGTTCCTCTAAAACAAGTAGAATATGGAACTGCATTTTTTTCAAATGCAGACGTCTTCAGAAAGGGGTTGATTTAAAAGAAAATGTATTAGGAGTATGCAAATAGTATTTCTGTCTTTGTTTTTTCATGTCCCAGGCAGTTGGTGTATGATAGCGTTCTGCTCTTTCAGCGTCAGTGATGAAATGCAACAAGGACAAACAACAGCTTGGAGTGTTGTGTTGAATTTCTTGCTCTAACACCAAAAATTCCCAAAATAACTTGGCAAATAAGTCAGTCTCTGTACCTTAATTTATTGTAGTGTGGAAGGTTACTGCTTCTTGCTTTGTCTTCTTTGAGAGAGGCTGGGGGACCGTATTTGTCCAGCATTTTTAGTCCTTGTAGGACTTGTAAAGAGGCTGTCCTTAAATCTGATTTACTTCTGTGCCAAGACAATGTCTTTAAGTTGCTGTGGAACCGGCTTGGAGATGAGATGAGCCTTAGACATCCCTCCATTTCCTCCTTATTGATAACTGCAGCTTTGTTGATTGACTTCAGCCAGCATCACAGACTTTCTCTCCTGTGTGCCCAGGTGTACTCTGGCTGTGGCATTGTGTACTGCAGGATGAGGGATGTGTGTGACCAGCTGGCTATTGAATTGAGCTACCGAGGAGTGAAAGCCAAAGCGTATCATGCAGGTACTGAAATCTGCATCTCTCAGCAGCTGGTAGAACTGAACTGTACCACCTTTAAGGCCTAGATGGGATTACCTAAAAATTAGCTTTCTTGGCATGGTCTGCAATACATCGGATCTTCGAGGTAAATATGGGTAACAGAGCAGAACAGCATTCTCTCCACTTCAGAGCTGTTAGTTTTGTTGGATCTTGCATGGCCTAAATATAACTGCACTCCTCCCAGGAATGTTCCAGATTTTTCTCTTTGGAACAGAAACAGCTGCTGCTGACTTCTGCTTGATCCCCAGCCAGCTTAAACATGGACAGAGAAGAGTGTGTACATCGGTTTGGTTTTAGTTGAGGGGGTTGCAATGGGGGAATGTGAGGAGGGGGCACAAAATACTTCTT